AAGCCACAACTGCAAATTCCTACAGAGCATTTCAAGTTTTCTTGTTGAAGCGGGTTTGAAAAACAACATCCATTGCACCAGCCCCCCTTTTCCTTTTCAAATCATTGTTCTCCATTACAAGCCTCGGGATCCACTTAGCTCTTTGCTCAAACACGCAGAGACAACGCAGCTCGCTCCCGCCTCAGCTCACCCGCTCGTCTGCTGGTGGGGTCACAGACTGCCATCCATCTAGAGAAACCCACACGCAGGGATGACAATGGGCCATTCACATGGACCGTTATTCACTTCTACTACACACAGCCACCCTAACCCTGCACCTTTATCAAATGATAACCTACCCCTTATGGGAGCTCACCAAACAAGAAAGAAAACACCCCTGCAGCCATTCACGTGCAGTTATTACGTTGTGCCGGACCCGAATGCATTGTAAAAAGGAATAAAAACATACAATGACACAAGGATGGCTTCAACACCACAATCCCCTGTTCAGGAGGCTCTTTTAAATGAGAGCAACCCTAGGGCGCACACAGGGCTCCCATTTTACAGTGTAGCTCTACCAACCCCATGTCAGGGACTTTGCGGGTCTGCGCACGCTGCGGGGATAAACCAGCGCACCCCAAGCTCCGCAGCTCCGGTGACCCTCGATGCAAACTTCGATGGCAAAGCGCACAAAGTCGGCGAGTGTGACCGGTGTACGTGTACCCGCGCACGGAGCCGTTTGCGTAACCATTGCAAAACACGGGCCCGAGGAACGTGGCTACTCCTGGGTCACCTCCTTGACCAGTGGGACATCTGCCCCACCGCACGTCCGGGCTGAAGGGAGGCCAAAGGTGCCCACCATGGCCCTGACAGACACTGGGCCTGCTGCCGGCCAGCCCCGCGCCGCTGAAGTCCCTGCAGAGGGAACTTGCCACTGGTGAGGGAGAAGCCCGGGGGTCGCAGCTACTGGCTCCATCCCCATCCTCTCCCTGGCCTGGCCCTCTGAGGGGGCTCCCCGCGGGGGGACGCCCTGTGTCACCCCAAAAGGGTGACCCCAAAGAAAGCACCGTCCAGGCACGGGTTGAATCCATGAGTGTGGCTGTCACCCGGCTCAGGGGGATGAAAAGCAGCCGGGGGACAGAAGGGGACTGGGGGGGGGGGGGTGAAAAATGGCCACAGAATGGGGGACACGACACAGTGAGAGGGGGGAAAAACGGCGAATGAGGGTGGAATGGCCACTGAAGGGTAGAGAAACAGTGCGGGGAGAGCGTCCCGGCCGGGAAGCGCATCCCTGCGGGGAGCTGCCCGCGGCCGAGGGGCTGCAGCGCGAAGGCAGGTGGCGCGGCCGCCCGTGGGCTGGGGGGCACCGACCCGTACGCGCACACACACAGACACACACCCACCCCCTTCTCACCCACCTTGCACGGCCAGGACAGCGAGGGCGGAGAAGCAGAGACAAAGCAGGTCCTCCAGCGCCATGTAAGCCCCGCCGGGCGCCGGGAGCAGGGGCCGCCTCGGCCGCATCTAAGAGGGGAGCGCGCTCTCCCGCTGCCCCACCGCCATCTTGTGCGAGCGCCCCAGCCCCGCTGCCCGCCGGCGCCGCCGGGCCCCGCTGCCGGGGGGCGGGGGGCGGCCCTGTCCTGCCGCTGCTCCGCCTTTGTCAGCGGGTTCGCCGCCGAGCCGAGGGGGCTGCTCCCGCCCTCCTCCACAGCGGCCGCACCAACAGGTTGCTGCTGGGGGGAGCGGCCGCGGTTCCTGAGGGGGTGGGCGGAGAAGCGGGAACGGGCTGCAGCGGCAGGTGCGGGGCTCCTCCGGCCTCCCCAGGCCGGCGCATGGGGGCTGTAAACATTTTATGTGCCTTTTTATTCACCCCTTTCCCCCTCCTCGTTAGGTTCGTGGCGTTTCTTTCCTTTTTGCCACAGGTGAGCGCAGAGGACATCGCGCTCCCACAAACCAGCCCTGGGCTTCCCCCTCACGGTGCTCCCTGCGGACACCTCTGCCCGCGCCTCCTTCCTGTCAGCGCTGAGGGACCCTCTGCGGTGCCCACCCTCAGCCGCCCGGCACCGACAGGCACGAAGGCGTAAGGTGTCAGGCTTGCATGGGCACAGCCATCGAGGGCTGACGGCCGCCGTCCCGCAGGGGCCCTGTCAGCCGGGGCAGGCCCATGTCTGTGGGGAGGAGGCGCGGCTGCTGCCCAGACACACGTAGGGACCGTACCTCCATCAGCCTGCAGTCCCGGTGGGGCTCATTTCGACAGCTCCCTCAGGTGTATATCCTTCACGGGGCTTTCCGGGTGTTGAAGTCCAGCCTGTGCTTCTCAGCCGTCCTTAAAGCCAATAAAACACATACGTGCATGGCACCGGTGCAGGGAGCGGCAGGAGCCACCCGCCCGCCGAGCCAAGCAGTGGGAATGAGGCAGGGAGCTGAAGGGTGCTGAAAGATGGAGACCGGGCCCGCTGCCTCCCCAGCTTGGCTGGGTCCCAGACACACGGGGAAGCTGCAGGTGCAGGGTTAGTCCTGAAGGCAGATGACACCAAGACCTTTAGGCAGTGGTGGCTGGCACCAAGCAGAAGGGCAGATGTATCCGGAGTGGGTAGGAGGGGGTCTGCTTTGGTCCCTGAGAGGAGAAGAGGCTGCCGGGCGCACGGGGATGTTTTATCCAGCGGTGTGGAATGCGGAGAGGGCTCCAGCTATGCAGAACATGAAAAAAAGAAACCTTTTTCATCCAGACTCTATTTATTAGCTTGTATAATGAGCTATAAAAACTTAAATGAAACCAGAAAGGCTGCGTGGTGGGAAGCAGGTTTGCCATGTGTCTGAGTTATGCCACTGGGAGTTAGTACTTGGCACCATCGCTACAGACCTGGGAGCCAGCAGCCTCCTGCTCTGGGCAGATGTGCAGGGAAGAAAAGGGGATAGTAACAGCCATGCTCCCTTCTGCACTGCTCCAGCGTGGAGGTAAAGTTTAACAACCTCTGCAAACCCTCCTCTCGTCTCTGGGCCTTTCCCACCTGCTCCTTTCTGTGTGAGGTGGTTATAAAGGTGCTCTCAAATTGCTTTAACTGTGCTGTAGAGGAACGTCTCCTCATTGTGTCTGCTGCTGGTTTCAGACACACCCCTGCCCTTGTTTCCTCAAGTCTCAGACATTTCTCCCTCCCTTTAAACAAGGAAACCTTTACCTAAAAGTCAGGCAAGTCTGGCATAATAAATAATGAAAGCTGCTAATGGTCTGCAAAATACAACACACCTGTCTGTGTTAAGGCATTAACCCATCTCCCTGCCAGGGTTGCACCTAACCAGGTCAGGATTAGAAGCAGGCACCAGCTTTCAAACACCCAGATCCAATTCTTGTCTTAGACTGTGTTACTTGATTTCTCTGTGGCACCTCTGTATTTCCTGCATGTCAGCGGAAACAGGAATTAAAACAGCATTTAGACAAAACCAACCTTGCAGCAGATACGTTCCTTCAGCATCTGTCCCTGGGCAAAAGAGGAAAAAGAACACCATAGCAAACAGCCCCTGATGTGTGAAAGCACCAGGCACTTGACCCAGAGCACCGGCTCTTTTCACACCGACAACACACGTGCTCTGTGAGAGTAATACCAAGTCCTCACCATCCACCCCTCTTACCCACATCCCCACAGACAAACTGAGCTTTTACAACCAGTTTTTCCACAGGGAGACTCCTTCACAGCTTAATCCAACGCTGGCTGACGTGTGCCTCCACAGGGAGGCAACCCTGGTGTCACTGCTTCAGCGAAATGACTTCTTGTGGTGCTTACAGAGGACACAGGACCTGGAGAAAGAGCCCCTTAGATTTGGGCAGGATCAGGTAACTCCCTGGCTGTGAGTCCATAAAGAACAAAGTGACAGCAGACATGCCAACAGAAGGGACATTCCTTCCCCACATAATTGCATTTCTGCCCCAGTACTTAGAGCAAGCAAAAGCCCCCATTTATGCGCTGCAGACTCTCCAATGTTCCCATCCCTGTTGGTGAGGAGTTTCTTTCTACCTTTTAATAGCTGCAAATCTCTGATAACTTTGAGCTGAGAAAGTGTGAATGGCAAAGAGCAGCAGCAGCAAGTGGCAGGTGGTTGTGGTTGAGCCTTTTGTTCCCCCTTTGGGAGACATCACTTCTGTGCTCCAAAAAAGAAGGTGTGGTGAGTCAGGATATGGAGGGTACATGGTACACGTCATGGGTTTGTGTAAGACCCAGCAATGAAGAGCTCATTAGGGAGATCCAGCAAAGCTATAGATTTTTCTAGTTCAGCAGGAGCTTTTCCCATGCAGCCGAGGGGAGATCCATGCTTTTGGAAGGCTGGGGCAGATGCAAGAGGCCTTGAAGCACAGCAGCATATGTTACAGAGCTATCTGAAGCAGAATTTGTCCGTGCTCTGAACCCAAAGCCATGCTGAGCAGCCTATGTCCACATCCAGCTGTAGAATTCCAACTACCTGGATCCAGTTGTGCAAAGCACTAAACAAGTGCAGGTGAAGAACAATGATTGCTCCCAAAAAAGACTCCCTGAAATAAAAGAAACCCAAAGAACAGGGAAAAGTCATTTCAGAGAGAAAGCAGTGAGGAACAAGAAGATTCACAGCCCATTGTGTGTTTTTATTAAACAGGCAGTGCAGTATTGTCCCAGTTCCAGGCTGAATCCTATCACTGACAATGGTGTCTGGCTGCCTCCCGTGGACTGGGGTTCAGAGCATCGAGAAGCTGTAGTCCAGGGTCAGAGCAGTTAAAGCAAATGAGAGAAACGGAAGTGAATTCAAAGTTATGGGACACAGCAATTTAAAGCAGAATAGCTATTTTAAAAATTATGATGAGGCTGTTCTTATTCCAGGTGAGGGTTGCTTTATGTTCTCTTAGCTTAATCCACTTCATGCTGAAGAGAACAGTTTTGATTTGGAATAGGCACTTTCTCTGCAGACTGAGTGTGCCCCCCCCCGGATCACAAATCCCCACAGTGCCAAACCCTGCAGCTCTGAAGTTAACAGCAGTGGAAGCTTTCGTGGGTGCACTTGTTAATGCCCTCCAGTTCAGCAGGTAAGAAGTGCTGCCTGCAGCTACTCAGCCCCCATCTCGCAGGGGGTCAGTGCCTGAAACGTGCTTGGGACCACGCTTTGGTTCTTTCTCTCCCAAGCAGGATTAAACTTCCCAGTCTCAAATACAGCCTTGCTCCAGTTTCTGAGCATCTCTGACTCCAGACAGGTCTGCTACACTGAGTTTGACATTTTAGAATGCATTTAAGCTGCTCTAATAACCAGAAGAGTTGGCTGCTCTTTCCTTTGTGTTGGCATTACTGCTTGAATGAGCCTGGAGCTGGACAGAGGGAAGGATGGTGCTGAAAACTTAACAGGCAACAACAATAAGAAAATCAGCTCCAGCACTCCGTGCACTCACCCTAGAGTTAGTGCCAGCACAAGGAGAGCAATGGGAACATGCAGACAGAGGCACGAGGAAGCTTTCAACGGCAGCACAAACCTGCGTGGGCTCAAACCCTGCAGAACTGCAGCCTTGGTCTTCCCAGGAAAGAAGTCTCTGAGGGACCTTTTCCACCAGGACTCGCTTTGCTGCCAGGCTTCTTCTGGTCTGGCAGCAACTTCGGCACTAGAAGGAACGTTGACTTCCAGGCGAGAAGAGTGCCTGTGGCCTCCTGTTCTGTATGTGTGAGCAATGCCAAACAGGAGCAGCTGGTTGCACATAATAACATGCATTGTGTAAGTGAGCAACACAATAAGCAATTTGCTCGACAACCCAGGGACACCAGGACAATTCTGTATCACAGAGAAGAAAGAAAAGAGCTAAAAAACATGTGATGACCAAAGCCTAAGGGAGCCTCAGTATACTAGCCATTCATTTCATTACGCTTGCTCTTATAAATATTTATGACACAGCCCATCTCATCATTCTTCCAGGAATGGGTGTTGTGTTATTGTTATACCCAGGGAGGTCTTTCCCTCTTCCTCTGGTCCTGCTGCAGGCAGTCAGCAGTTGCCAAAGATGGATAGGGAGCAAGAGTGGGACATTAACTATGGAAAACACCACTTAAAACGGAGCTCAGGGGCAGATATTGGCAGGTGCATTGTTAGAAGAAAAACAAATGGAAGAGGAAAAGACAGCAAGTAATGAGATTCAGAAGCTTGTGTTTGAAATGTGTTCATGGCAAAAGGGATTTCTGCATAGAAGGGCCCTAGAGCCAGCAATGAGCAGAGACTCACCCTGAGGTTGCACCCTGCTTGGATTCAGGATGGGAGTTTTGATTGAGATGAGTGCCAGGCTGGGAAACAGCAGTGAGGCTCAGGTGTGTTCTGAATATCAGCATCATGTGCCTGCACGGAGAAAAATGCCATGTTAAAGTAGGGTAAAATAATCCTACCATTTATAAAGCTTTGTACATAAAACTTGGAGTGTTTTGGTTTTTTCTTTGATTTCTACTGCTACCTGGATATCCCCAGTGCCCTGTTCCTTGCTCTTACTGGGATTTGCCACCTAAGTGAAGCTTTACAAAATCAAATGCTAATCTGCCTTATGCAGAGTCACATCAACTGATTCATTATTCAGGACGAGTCACTCGCATTGGGTTAGTGATGGCCTGACTTACAAACACATGCTGGGTAGATTTTAGGTGAAATGGATCTGTTTCATTTCAGTTAGTCTCCCTCGCCATCATGTGAGTCTTGTGTGTGTCTATTTGTTAACCAGCTTGTTCACCATCAGCTATAATCAAATCAAGACCTACGAGAAACATCCCGATGTGTTATAGAGGAGTCACATAGAACATCACTGTCTTGTAAACACGCATGGCTATCAAAAATAATATTTGCTCATAAACAACATCTGTGGACTTCTCCCTACAGCAGTTACCAAGTAAAAGCTCAGTCTAAATTTTATTCTCTGCTATGGTGCCTACTAGCTAAGGCTGCTACTTTTGGGCATAAAGAACACACATAACATCAAGGAATCCTGCACAGTCGGGGCTGCCTTCAGAAACACCCATCAGGCTCCTTTGTAGTGGGAAATGTGTTCATGTGCCAAAAATGAGGATCTGTTCCCAAGTTTTATTAGATCCACAGAGCTGGCTATAAAATGCCATGCGAGAAGGGAAGCAGCCGAAGCGGGAGGCTGCTGGTGCACATCATCATGCCACCCTCTTGTGGCTAAGCCCAGGAAATAGAGCAGTGGATGCCCAAGGACACCGCATAAATGCCACCGGGTTATTTTCAGATTGCCTTGCTCCACGCCAATGAGCACCCTGCGTGGGCAAGCAGCAGGGGCCACCTTTCAGCTGGCTTAGGAGTTAAAAGCAAGGTTGGAATAAAACCATCTCTGCACTTTGGAAACTTTGGGATCTGGATCTGATCTGAGGATGGGATTTCATTCCAGTGCAGCGTGAAGGCCTGCAGATGTTCATGGCAGACAGATGTCAGACTTCCACATCTCTGGCTATTCTCTGCTCAGAAACCATGACCACATACCTGCTCCTTGAGATAGTTTTGGCTATTCTGTCCTTTCATAAAGAGGACTTCATGCTTTTACACATTTCTATTCAAGCACTGAGAGCCCCATCACCTTCCAGAGAGCCCCAAGGATGAGCACCACAAGGTGGTTTGGCAACTCTCTCTCAATCCCATCTACATAAAGAGTTCTAATTCTCAGAAATGGCCAGTTTACCCCAAAAGCAGGTGCTGGCTTTCACAGCAACCTCGGCGCCTTCGGATAACACAGGCTATTCCCATCCATCAGAGAGTTCTGCAAACTGAAATAGATGATGTATTTATTTACGGATTACAGAGCACAAGAAAGAGCAGCTTTGCACTATTGTCAACCTCCCAGCATTCGGTCTCCTATAAATAATGCATCATTGTTCAGTGTTGGTTTATGGTTTAAGTTCCAGTGAGCAACGTGGACCAGCAGACTCAGCAAAGATGAAGGCAGCCCGGGGTATTAGTAAGAGAAATAGCACCATCTGACTGAAGAGTATTAGAAAAACAAAGCAAAAACTGTGAAGTTCTCAGAGTGAGTTTCACGTCGGCTCCAGCAGGCAAAGCCCTGCTTTTACCTCGCATTGAGAATCACCCAGATCTATGATTACAGCCGATTTTCACTCTGCTTTCTGCCGGTCGTGAGCTAATTCGATTTCAGATAAACACTAATTAACACTGGAGGTCAGCAGGCACCGCTGCACCGGGGCATTCAAACGCAGCGAGGGATCAAAAGAGCCTCCGCCGCTTCCTTTGAACTCCTCAATTAAAATTTTCACCAATAAAGCTATTGTTTTACATCTGCTTCATCCAGGGGGAGAGAGGGCAGAGAGCAGAGCGATCACTGCCTCTAATTGGGCTGCTTTCCCTTTCTTCTTACAGGTTGCCTCCATGTGGGTTTTTTCTCTGGACCAGTGGAAGAAAATGATGTCCAGACCATTCACAATGCAGCTATTACACTGCAAGGCTGCAGCAGGCTGAGAGCGAAGCCGTGGGGAATCTGATTTCCCTCTTGTGAGCAAAAAGGGGCATCAGTGCCTTTCTTGGGAAGTTTGATTGATAGCCCTTAAGAAGGGCTCATAAAATGTGTCTCTGGCTATTTAGGCAATTCTCTTTTGAAGATGAAGGAGAATATTAGATTAATCCAACTGCTATAATCACATTAGCTCCTGCTTTTAAAGAAAACATATTTTATGGCATCTGTACTCTAACGGAAACAACCTGTGGCTGCACATGCCCTGGGCTGGTGCTTTGCTGCTAAACCTGCTCTGATCTCCTTGGAAGGGGTTTTCATCCAGCTGCTGGGGAACTGGTGTAAATACCTGACTTGTGCCACCATCCCACACGGACCCCTTGTGGGCAACAGAGAAACCAAGGCTAGGGAGGACCAGAGGGTCTGAATTCCACTCTTATCCATAGGGAAGCTCACTTAAACTCGGGATTAAGGCAAATTAGCAGGAGAGCAGGGAGAAGGCTGCAGGGCAGCTGCCTGGGCTGTACAGACAGGGAACATAAATCTTGAGAGCCGTCATCCCACAGCATTCTGGAAAAGCTAAATGGAAACACCAGTTGAGTATCTGGTGGTGTCTGTACGGCAAAGGTTTAGTAACTCCCAACGCTGGGAAGCAGATGGGTACATCCCTGTGAGAACACACTGCAGTGTGTATCCCGCGGGAGGGTGTAGTCAGTCCTACGTACAGGCAAGCCACAATAAAGTCCCCACTACCACCATCCAGTATCCAGAAACTTCACCAGAGAAGAAATACTCTTGATGGGAATTGTAGAGCAGGTATATCTTGGATGAGGCACATCAACTTACCTCCGCATCAGCCCACTCTGTTCACTTACCCTGATCTGCTCGTGGTTGTCTGACAGGGACCCTGGGCAAAGAAGAACTGATTAACTGATTATTCACACCTGGAAAGAAATGGTATCTGCTCTCAACAGCATTGAAGGGAGAGAAGAATCAAGAGAGTGACCACAAAGGAGATCAAGCTGTGGCTTGTGCTCACTAATGGCTTAAACTCACCTTCTGGAGTCCATTTATTGGTGCCAAAGGATGAAAGAAGGTCAGGATGCCCCAAAACCAGAGCGGTTGCTGTGAGTCTGGGAAGTTCAGTTCCTTGCCTGGCCCTGAAGCTGTGATGAGCTTTGCCAAGGTCTCAGGAGATGCCTGACTTCACAGGTCTAGCTTCAAACCTTGCTCCGGTTTCTGGGTTGCATCTTCTGCAGCTCCACTCTTGCACCTCGATTCACCAGCTAAGCCAATCTGACCCTCCAGTGAAGAAGCTGTGTTACCTTAAAACACTCCTTTTCTATCCAGCATGCTGGTGGATGCTGCAAACAGCACATTGCTTATCCCAGGATTTAATCAGATTAATTAAGCTGCACTTCTATTAATTTAAATTACAAGTATCTGAAGGCTCAGCCAAATCAAGTGATTTATGGGCTGTATCAACCTAATTAATACCACCAACTCTTAAAATAAAAACCTAATAAATTAGTTTATTATACAGACATAAGATCGACTTATTAGCTTCGGGTCTCCAGTGACATGGGGAATTTGATGGGAGTTTTACATCCTTGTTGGGAAAAGGTCTTCTTTTGTAACACCAGCGGGAAGGAAAAATATCATCTACAGGGCAGGGGGAGGGAGAAACGACACAAGCTCAGTTATCAAAACAGCAACCAAGGCAAGAGGTCCCCAAAGCCTTGCTGTACACAAATTGTGTGGGTTTTATAACTGCAGGTGCCCACAAGAGAACAGTTTATCTGGCTTCTCGCAGGCAGAACCTGCCCTGGTCTGTGTGCTCACTGTTAAGCAGGCTGCAACAGTGGTGAGCCATGGGATGGGAAGGGAAAACGAGAGGCTTCTGCTTCAGTGCCGGAGTTCACGCTCGATTTCCTGAGCTCTAAGATTGTTTCCCTTTGGTTTGCAAATCCCCCCTTGGAGCAAAGAGCCACGTGAGAGACGCGCGATGGAAAAAGGAGCAGGCTCCATCTCTTCAGCTTTTGCTTACAAAATATGTTCTTCAAATGCATTTGTCTCATTGTGTTCAGGATAACAGCCTTCTCCAGCAAAGGGAAGGAACTGGGAAGGCTTTTCTGGGAGAGAAAATGGGGCCATTTATGGTATAATTACATAAAGACAATGCCATCCTGTGTGTCTGTCGCCGTGATTTATTACAGTTACACAGAAAATTGGCTGATTGGACCATAAAAGATGGCTGGAGGCAAACCTGAACCCCTTTGCTTTCCTGCCTGCCACTCCACACACACAAGCCAATGAATTAACTCAACGTTTGTAACATGCTTGGAGAAATGACCCATCTTTGCTACTTTAAGAGGTGCCAGAACAAAGGAGCTTAGCAGACACGGCCACATTTACTATCGCTGCCTACACAGAAAGGCTCTGCAAACCCCACCACCACTTTTGCTGATGCACATCAGGGTCTCAGGGTACTTTATTCCATTCCATCCAGTGTTAGCTGGATCATTCCAAAGGTTCTTACCATCACAGGAAAACTTCCTCACAGTTTCTCTGTACAACTACAGCTCAACAGCTCTGCCAGCTCCATACCAGCACTTACCAACATCTTTGTTTAGGGGCTCCCTGTTCATACCAGAACAGCCTCTCTGGTCCAACAGTGTCTCTCCAGAGGAAGAGTTCACATCTTCCGTCATTCAAACCATCAGCAACAGCTCGTAAAACTTTATCCCTTTGGTCCATGGGCAACCTGCAGTGCATCCCACTCACAAGTGAAGCATAAAGAGGAGCCTCTGTTCAAAGGATGGGGCACAGAGAGATATGACAGTGTGGAAAGGAGGGACTTCCCATGGGACTCTGAAAAGAGGGTTGATCCTTAACTCTATGGAGCTGAATGAGTCTGAAGGTCCCCGTGATCTTCAACTTCCCGCTAGCCAAGGGCAGCCAATTCACAGGGTGCAGCCCCTCTGTTTGTTGTGGGTTATGTATCACAGCAGTACCTGGAACAGGCAGGCTAAAAATAAGCTGGAAGGCAAAACAGCAACAGTGCATGGAAAAACCAAGCCACGGGATGATTTACAGAGGAGCAAACTCCCTGCGAAGCCTGGCGGGGAGGATTACACCTAAACACAAACTCCTGTCCAGTAATTCCTGCTCCCCAGTCACTAACCTGCTGCTAACTTTGCTGCAAGCAGCATTAGCTGTTGCTTCGGGCGTGGGTTGAAGAGCACCAGCTTCTACTAATAGGAAGAGGAGGAGAAACATTTCTTGTAAGTAAAACAGCAGAACTCATCTGTACCCTTCCTGTTGGAGGAAAGTTTCTTGTGGCTGCTGTGAGCAGAACAGCAGCAGCCCTCAGTGACCGTAATTTGTGGTAATACCACAGAATTACTTGTTTGATTTAAAATGCTTCAGCTGGGAGAGGAGAGAATTTGAGGCATAAAATAGACTGTATTAAAAATAATTATATCCAGGAAGAGCGGGGATGGTTTTATCACAGCTGTGGTTCCAGGCAGCGGTTCTGCATGTGGGCAGGGTCATTAGAGCAGGTCTCCTGTAAAATGGTGTCTGCTGAACGTGTGGCCAGAGAAATTTTCCAATGAAAGCCTGAGCTAATCCAGGAATTGTATTAAAAGGTGTAAAATGGGTGAACGGCACGGAAATGTTTCAACCTGTCCTTTGCTAAATGTTAATGGAGAAATGCTGTGTAATGGGACCAAGTTCCTGCAGAAGAATCAGGTCTGGCCACTGACAGGTTGAGAAATGAAAACAAGGCTTTTATAAAGATAAAAAGTAACTCGTACTTGAGAGCAGCCTCAAGCCGAGAGCTGGGGTTCCTTCTTGGCCAACCTATATAACACAAAAGACAAAACATTTTAATTCAGTGCCAGGTCATAACCTGGCTGCAAAGAAAATGAAACCTCGGTGGAAATCAAATGATGGAATTGGGATCATTGAAAAGAATCATCATGAAAATCATGTCTGAAAGCAAAACCAGCCCAAGGGGCTGATGCTCACAGTGGCACAGCACGGGGTTCAGGAGCAACCCCCCTCCCCCCAGATGTTTTGCATCCTGGTTTTTAGGGTCTGCAGTGATCTCAGGTGTGCTTGCACTGCGTGTGGGCATGAAGCTGCTCCAGCCAGAACAGATGAGACAACCTACGATGGAAAGGACACGGGGCTGGAGAAAATGCCCTGCTGGGCCAGGAAGGCTCTGAGAATGGGTTTGTATCCCAGGACCAGCAGCAGGGCCGGGGCTGTCTTTCCCAGCCCTGACTGATGCAATTCCCATCCGGAGCCTGCGGACAGCTGCGGCGCAGGAGTGGAAATTCCTCCCGACCCCGAGCGCGCACAGCAGGGAAGAGCATAATCTCCGTGATTTACAGGCTGCAGCTCTAGTTTAAAATACATTAGGCTCCAACTATTTAATTACTGGGCACTACCAAATCACAGAGACAGAGGAGTCAGTCACGTCTGCTAATGCCAACATTTATCATCCTATTTATCTACTCCAGCTTCTGAGACCCATATCGAATCACTTCCCTGTATTAGCTAATAATGTATGAGTTTATTCCTGTACCTCTGGGCAGCCCTCAGTGGATATTATAGCACTGCTGGCAGCACACATCCACCTAGGGATAGATAAACTTGTTTAGAGCATATAAAGAATTGTAATCACCAGCTAAAACTCAAATCCAAATCAAAGCTTTTTTCCCTGCTGCCTCTTACCCCCAGATACTAATTCACACCAGAGAGTAAATGCAAGCAGCGCTGAGGCTCTCGGTCTGGCTGAAAGGCAGCAAAGCTCCTGATAGTTCTGAGAAATCATTAAATGTCTACATTTTATGGCTGCAGAAAGGCACAGGAAAATGAAGCCGTGTCTGAGAGCTGGGGAGCAGGACATGAGGCTCTCTGGGCAGCAGCTTACATCCCGCCAGGAACGTGTCCCCATCCTGCTCCCCCATGCAGGGAGGATAGAACTGAGCTGGGACAGGCATGGAGGCAATGCTGGCTCCTGCAGGATTGGAGATACCAAAGCAGCTGCAGAAGAAGTTCAGTGGGAGAAGCAAATTTGTCTGTGGAAACATATTGGACCTGTAAGAAAAGGCAAGAGGAGAGGGAGAAACTGCTGGCTGATGGGTGAACCCACTCCAGCTCAACCTCTTCTCAGTAAAGCCCCAATAAACCCAGCGCAATCTTCCTCTATCATTCTATGATTCCTCTGCCTGCTTTTCCCTCTGAAAATCATATGCCTTTCATTTTGCTTGCTTATGCTGCTGTCCCTAAGGACAGCTGATCTATCTGGAAACTTTCAGGCAGTATCATTTTCAGAAGAAATACTCCACATCCTCTTGCCTTTGCACGTGTGTCTGTCCTCAAGATGGGCATTAAGAAGGGAAGAAAGAGGCCTTCCCCCCTCCCAGAGAGTCCCAAAAGAGCACAGTAAAGCAAATGTCCTTTTATTCCATGACAGTTTCTTTGCTGGTGCCTTTTGCTTCCATTACTGTGATGGTTATCAGAGAATCCCAGACTGGTTTGGGTTGGAAGGGACCTTAAAGCTCATCCAGTTCCAACCCTCTGCCATGGCAGGGACACCTTCCACTGGAGCAGCTTGCTCCAGGCCCCTGTGTCCAACCTGGCCTTGAACACTGCCAGGGATGGGGCAGCCACAGCTTCTCTGGGCACCCTGTGCCAGCACCTCAGCACCCTCACAGGGAAGAGCTTCTGCCTTGTACTTACTCTAAATCTACCCTCTTTCAGTTTAAATCCATCCATATATAAATA